ACTACTGCTGTAATAGGCTGTAAACTACTGCTGTAATAGGCTGTAAACTACTGCTGTAATAGGCTGTAAACTACTGCTGTAATAGGCTGTAAACTACTTCTGTAATAGCCTGTAAACTACTGCTGTAATAGCCTGTAAACTACTGCTGTAATAGGCTGTAAACTACTGCTGTAATAGGCTGTAAACTACTGCTGTAATAGGCTGTAAAAACCGCTGTAATACGAGTCAGTTCACCTGTCTTACCTGGGGAGAAGTTCACCTTTATACAGACCTGACCTGACTCCAGCACATTTATCAAGAGTCCTCGCATTTGTGTATCATTAATAGCCACTCACTTTATCTTCCTTCACCTCCCTCCTCTTCCTCTCTTTATCCTCTTCTTCTTTTCCTTCTATTCCTCTCCTTCCTTTCTCCTTCTCCTCTACTCCTCTTTTATGCCTCCTCTTATGAACATTTTCTCTTCCTTCTTCCTCTTCCTCCTCCAGGCATTAATATCATCACTGGCCACAGTCTCAACCACTCTCCTCTTCCTAATCCTTTCCTATTTTTCCCATTTTCCGTAATTCGCCTCTCTCTCTCTCTCTCTCTCTCTCTCTCTCTCTCTCTCTCTCTCTCTCAACACTAATCCATCTTTCAGTATTTCCCTCCACTAGTTCCCTCCATCACCCCTCCCATCACCCCTCCCATCATCCTAGTCAATGGCGGACACAAAGTGATTATAACTACAACTTGCAACTTATAACAAGTCTCTCCCTTGACCCCTGACCCTTGGGGAGTGGGGGGAGTGAGGGGGGAGGGGAAGTGAAGGAGAAGGGGGGAAGGAAGAAGTAGGGGAGTGAGGAGAGGGGGAGGGGAGGAAGAAGTAGAGGAGAAAGATGCATGTGATGAGAGACATAGCTTGAGACACATTGAGGTGATACCCATTGTGAGAGACATAGGGTAAGATGTACACAAAATGGGAGACACGGGGTGAGAGACGTCATCTGCCCTCGTGAGATTAAAGCAGTCATTTCTCATTACGGGGCACTATGGTGTTAATGAAGGGGCCTAACAGCGTGCGTGAGAGATAGAGGGAGTGAGAGAGTGAGTGAGAGATAGAGAGAGGGAGTGAGAGATAGAGAGAGGGAGTGAGAGATAGGAAGAGGGAGTGAGAGATAGGAAGAGATAAAGGGAGTGAGAAAAAGAGAGGGAGATTGAGATAGGAAGGGAGATAGAGAGGGAGTGAGAGATAGGGTAATAGAAATGGAAGGAGGTGGAATTAGAGAGTGAAATAGATAAGAGATAGGAAGGAAGAGATAGAGAAGGAGTGAAGGTCGGGTGAACTGTATGTGTGATCTTAAACTGTACTCGTGATGGTCTGGCCTTATGGGAGAGGCGATTGACGGGGAGAAGTGAGAGAGACGGGAGAGATGAGAGTCAACAGATGGAAGGGGGCGGGGGTTGTGTGTTGAAAGGGAAGAGGAGAGAAACAGGAGGTGGAAGAGGAAGATCAAGAGTCAACAAACAGAGAGAGAGAACACATGGAAGGGTAGGGAGATGGAAGAGGAGGTGGGACAATCAGCTAATGGAAAGGGGAAGAGATTGATGAGAAAGAAAGAAGGAATCTGGGAATAAGGAATCTCTCTCTCTCTCTCTCTCTCTCATAACACAGACAATAGCCAGTAATATATTGAACTACTATCGCTAAATGACTTCACTCTATTGTAATGAAACTTTTGCAACACGTATTAATTATTTACCTTTTGTAATTCCCAACATAAATGGCCGCAGTATTTTCTTTCCAACACAATTTAACCATTTTATGACAGCGTTATTAAAGGCATTACAGTACATGTCCGTGTTATGTTGTTCAGTAAATAACGTTGAAGGGGATTATTTGTTTGTTCAACTTTTGTTCATCTGTTCCTGGGTGAAATGTGGCCTTGTTCAGGTGGTGTTATGTAGCTTGTTCATATGTTCACTAAATAACGCTATGAAGAGTTTTATTTGTTCAGTTGTGTTTTTTAATTGTTTGTTAATTTGTTCAGGTAAACACACACACACACACACACACACACACACACACACACACACACACACTACATAATACATATATTCCTTATCAGAGCAGGTTGGTTACGTCTGTCTGTCTGTCTGTCTGTCTGTGTGTATCTGCTTTTGTGTGTCCGCCAGGCTGTCTGTCTACCAGTTCGAATATGTTTGTGTCGGTTTCTATCCGTCTGTGAGTCTGTCTATCTGTTTCTGTCTTTGTCTCTGTCTGTCTTTCAGTCTGTATCTTATATGTAAACTCAGGTACATTATTAACACTAGGGTGACCTAGGAGTGCCCCGGGTGGCCTAGGAGTGCCCCGGGTGGCCTAGGAGTGCCCCAGGTGACCTAGGAGTGCCCCGGGTGACCTAGGAGTGCCCCGGGTGGCCTAGGAGTGCCCCAGGTGACCTAGGAGTGCCCCGGGTGGCCTAGGAGTGCCCCAGGTGACCTAGGAGTGCCCCGGGTGACCTAGGAAGGTGCCCCAGGTGGCCTAGGAGTGCCCAGGTGGAGGTGCCCCCTGAGGTGCCCAGGTGACCTAGTGCCCGGGTGGCCTAGGAGTGCCCCGGGTGACTTAGGAGTGCCCCGGGTGACCTAGGAGTGCCCCCGGGTGACCTAGGGTGCCCAGGTGGCCTAGGAGTGCCCAGGTGACCTAGGGAGTGCCCGGGTGACCTAGGAGTGCCCAGGTGGCCTAGGAGTGCCCAGGTGACCTAGGAGTGCCCCGGGTGACCTAGGAGGGTGCCCAGGTGGCCCCTAGGAGTGCCCAGGTGACCTAGGAAGTGCCCGGGTGAAGTGACCTAGGAGTGCCCTGGGGTGACCTAGGAGTGCCCGGGTGACCTAGGAGCCCTGGTGACCTAGGAGGTGCCCAGGTGACCTAGGAGTGCCCCGGGTGACCTAGGAGTGCCCCGGGTGGCCTAGGAGTGCCCCGGGTGACCTAGGAGTGCCCCGGGTGACCTAGGAGTGCCCCGGGTGACCTAGGAGTGCCCCGGGTGACCTAGGAGTGCCCCTTAGGAGAGGATGTGAACGTTGTAGTCATTAATTAATATAAGTAAGTTTTTTTAAGAATTTTTTGTCAAGATTTATTTGTTTCCAGTTAATTAATTATACATGTATATTTTATTATAGTTAAATATACAGGTATACTGTATGTTTTAAATGAAAGCTTTTAACTATGACAGTACTTGATGGTGATTATATTAAGTGGTATAACAGTACTATACTCTCGCAGGATTAACTATAATCTGGGAGCTTAAAATTGATTGTTGGAATCCCGTGAATTATATTTTTTAGCTGAACCAATCACAGGGCCTCTCAATCGATCTTTTCCAATCACAATACCCTCTCAGCCAATTTTATCCAATCACAAGACCCCTTATAAAAGCTCGACCTCTAAACCAATCACAGGACCCAATATAAAACCTCTGAACCAATCTCCACCAATCACAGGGCCTCTCTCCCTCCCCTGACCTCTTCATCATAACCCTTGATCGATGTCAATAAGCCTCTGGGGGGAGACTCTTAATAATTGGTCAAGTTATGAAGACATTGGCGGGGGGGGGTGGGGGTGTTTGTATGTAGGTGTAAACAATATGAGGGGAGGGAGTGAGTGTAAACAATATGGTCGCCACAAAGGTCAAGAACATGACCTTGATCAATAATAGACTTCGAGCAAGAACAACAACAACATCCTTAGAGTTACAACAGAACATTTTCTCAACCTAACCTAACCAAACCTAACCTAACCAGAACGTTTAAATTCAACGCCTCCAAACGTTCGCTAGTTGCAACATTATAAAGGAAACGTGAAAGTAGACACATCCATAAACTTTGCAACATGATTTAAATTTCTGCAACATGATGTAAACTTATGCAACATTATGTGTGTGTATCTGAAATGATGAAATAACCAGTTTATTTTAATAATCTTCATACTAAATCATACACATGTATGCTCGGTGTATATAACCATGAAACAGTATATTAAGTCGACACAGCACTACTGTACACTACAGGGATAACTTACTTACTGCGGCACCAATTTAGGAAACTCTGAGGCGATATGAGAGTCAGAGCTTAAAGTTATCCCCTGTACTAATTCACCCACCTCACCTTAACCGTTATACCTGTGTCTATAACCATTATCCCCTTAATTCACCCACCTCACCTTAACCATTATCCCCTTAATTCACCCACCTCACCTTAACCGTTATCCCCTTAATTCACCCACCTCACCTTAACCGTTATCCCCTTAATTCACCCACCTTACCTTAACCGTTATCCCCTTAATTCACCCACCTCACCTTAACCGTTATCCCCTTAATTCACCCACCTCACCTTAACCGTTATCCCCTTAATTCACCCACCTCACCTTAACCGTTATCCCCTTAATTCACCTCACCTTCGTTATAACCCCCTTAATTCACCCACCTCACCTTAACCGTTATCCCCTTAATTCACCCAATTAACCGCCTCACCTTAACCGTTATCCCTTAATTCACCCATTCACCCAACCTTAACCGTTATCCCTTAATTCACCCACCTCACCTTAACCGTTATCCCCTTAATTCACCCACCTCACCTTAACCGTTATCCCCTTAATTCACCCACCTCACCTTAACCGTTATCCCCTTAATTCACCCACCTCACCTTAACCGTTATCCCCTTAATTCACCCACCTCACCTTAACCATTATCCCCTTAATTCACCCACCTCACCTTTACTATTGTGTGTGTGTGTGTGTAAATCTATTGGGTGGGTTAAGTGAGTGGAAATAATGAGTCTCCTGATCTGACGGTGGATGTTTGTCGTGACTGAGGGTGTTTTGTATTCTGTTCAGGTGTGGTTTAAATCAGCCAACTCACCAATGATTCGCCACTTTGGTTTTTACAGGTGAATATTAATCCAGGTATTTCTTATAGATGTTTAATGAATTTCTTACATACACAACACAATTAGATACAAAACCTTTCACTTACGAGTTATTCCACTAAATGTCTTCTTGGTTATCTTAATTCCTAACTTGCTTCCATGTTTATCTCACATCCAGAGGGGGGCGGGGGGTGAGAGGATGGCACCACCAGCACACACAACACGTCGTGGGGGGGAGGAGGCACAAGTGTCAGGCCTCACTACCAAGAGCACTGCCGAGGGAGCACACCTGCACACGTCCGTCGCCGGCGAGGGCTACACGGATACTGACGAGTGGCTTGGCTACCCTACACACTGCCTCCTTCCATCCAGCCATCTTCCCTTCCTCCTTCCTTTCTTCTTTCCTTCTCCCTCCTTCCTTATCCTGCCATCCTGTTACTTCCCTCCCTCCTTCCTTTCTCCTGTCCACTACCCTCCTTCCTTCCTTCCCTCACGATTCTACCATCTTATCTACCTCTCTCTCCTTAACCTGCCATCCTGCCCACCTCCTTCCTTCCTACCCAACACTTTTTCCTTCTCCCCTCCTTCTACCTGTTCTTCCTTCCTTTGTATCCTTCTCCTCAGTTCCTCGTACGTCCTTCTTCCCTCCATATCCCTCTCTTCCTCCTTTTCCCTCCCCACCTACCTACCCACGTCCCTCTCTCTCTCTTACCCTCAGCCATCTCCTCCCCTTTCCCCTCTCTACCTCACACCTCTCCCCTTCCCTCTCCCCCCCCCCTCATTGTCTCAGATTTATTGCACGTTAGTCAATTTACTTCAGTTGGTGATGGAGAAATAGTTGTTCTTTTTATGCCAACGTGAAGGGTTGAGTTGAGGCAGTGTGAAGCTGGGGAGGGGGGTTGTCTCGTGTGTGCCCGGGGGACTCTTGCACCATAAGTGTTCGGGAAGAGGAGGAGCTCTCGCCTCATATGTGCCGGGAGGAACTCTTGCTGTACAGCGTTAATGTGCGTAACTCACCAATATGATTGGCTGGTGAATCATAACTCCGTGTTGTAAATTAAAGCTCAATCTGGCTGTTGCAAATGTAAAAAAGATATCCCATTAAAATGAATAAATAGATAAAATTATAGGTTATAGGTTGTATAATATATAGAAAGACGTATGGGTGAAAATAATGTTGTAGAAATTGAAATTAGTGCCACGCGTTCCCTTCTACTTGTCGTTTTAGTTATTATCTCGCTGCAGGTGTAATAAAATAATCACTGAATTCACGAGTATAAGTAATTATGTATAGACTACCGACGTGTGAATGTATAATTTTACTTGTTCATCGTCGCCGTCGCCGTCATGGTCAGTAGGTGTTTGTTGCCCCGAGTACCGAGCTGGGAGAGAGTGGGATGGAAGTGGAGAGGGGAGGGGATACAACTTGTCAATGGAGATGATTGGGAGGTGAATTGTCGGAGAGGTGTGTGGAACAAGTAGTAATGGCCTTCCTCCTTACCTCACTAAATGGAGCTCATTAATCCTACATGAATTAATTTAGATTTCAATTTGCAGGTCGTATGGGTGACGGTCTCCCAGGCACCTGTGGCCGCCTGATTGTACTGTGGAGGTAAGTGGTTTGTGTCCACCTGTTGATGGTTGGGTGGATGAATAGATGGGTGAGTGGGTGGATGGATGGGTGGGTGGGTGAGTGGATGAATGGATGGGTGGGTGGATGGACGGATGGATGGGTGGATGAATGGATGGATGGGTGAGTGGATGAATGGATGGGTGGGTGGATGGATGAATGGATGGATGAGTAGATGAATGGATGGGTGAGTGGATGGATGAATGGATGGGTGAGTGGATAAATGGATGGGTGGGTGGGTGGAAGGACGGGGTTGGTTATGCAAAAAGTGTTGTGTGTTGGGTATATATGGATAGGCAGCAGGTAAGTAAAAGAAGTGGATAGGTAAGTAGGTGAGTGGATAAGTAAGACACGAAAGGGATAGATAGGCAGGTAAGGTGGATGGACAAGTAGGTGAAGAGAAAG